ACTTTCTGCATCTTTTTTTTTTTTTTTTTTTTTTTTTCCCCCCCTTTCCTTCCCCCCTGCTCACCCCTACCCCCTTCTATGCAAACACTGTCCCCACCATCGCTGTATTTTCTGGTGCTGTCACCAGCTTGTCCCACCGAACCAGAATGTTCACCTAGGTTGCCGCATGCCCTCCGCTTTTTCACTTTGTTCCCCTGCCATCTGTCTCTTCTATAATACTGTGTTACTGGAGCTACCTTTCCTTATTCTATCTGCTGCAGTGAGTCCCTTAAAAGTAAAAAACCTCGCTTTTCTACTGGGGCTTTGTAAATATATTAAGTGGTTTATATCTCGGTGGGATTGGTTAGGAGAATGCAGTAGGAACTTCTAGAAGGAATCTGTGTGAGGAGTCAGGCAAGTGCTAGCATAGATTGGGATTTGTCAGGGTTTTTATTTTGAAAATCTTCAGCTTGTTTAATAAAAAGGGTAAAAGGTCTGCCTAACATGAGTACTAAAAACTCTTTTTTTTTTTTTTTTTTTTTTTTGCAGAGATCGTTTGAACATGGATTTAGACAGAGCTAGTCTAGATCTGATGATTCGGCTTTTGGAATTGGAACAAGATGCTTCTTCTGCCAAGCTGCTGAATGAAAAAGACATGAATAAAATTAAGGAAAAAATTCGGAGACTGTGTGAAACTGTTCACAACAAACATCTTGATCTCGAAAACATCACGGTGGGTATCGTGCTTTTATTTGAAAGCCTTGGCAGTAGTAGAATGCTTAATAAAATGGAACTTGTAAGCATCATCCTTAATCTCCTGTCTCCCAGCTAAGAAGTCATGACATTTTGTCTTCCTTCCCTGTATATATGACTGCACTGCAAGTATTTCCTTTGTTAAATTTGAAACTTCCTTTCTAAAGGACTGTTAGTATGATAAAGTTATGATGTTCTTCAGCTGTCTCCTTCACCATTTGCTCCTGCTAAGGGTAGCTAGTTAAAGACAGCGATTAAAAACTAGTAACATTTTAAATAACCGTGTGTTTAAAGGCCACATTTAGATTATTTGGCTCTGTTAATTTGCCTAAATTTTATACATACATTCACAAACAATAGGGGTTCTTGCGTATTGTGTGTTAAATGGAAAACGTGGTGCAGGTTCTGCCATTTAAAAAAATTAAAATCTGTCCTACAGAAACTGATTTCTCTCTGCCCAAAGTGTGGTGACAGATCTGCTGATTACTATAAACGTGGATGATTTTTTTTTTTTTTCCTTCCTTTCTCAAACACACTTGTTTTTTATGAATGTATCTTCATCTGCAACAGAGCAAACTGTTTTTGTTTAAAAATAAATTTGGGCATGGTTTGATGCTAGCATCAGGCTAGCTTGAAAAATAAATGGTAAGTTGCAAGTCTTTTTACAGTGTATTTAAAGAATTAATGACAGATTGAGTAGATGAGTGGTCATAGATGGCAAAAATTAGTAATGTGGTTTTCTTTTCACCATATTTCAGTATAACAGATGTTAGTATGATCTCAATTTTTTCACATCTTGTAATACATTCTTTTAATGTTTTAAAGATTCTTACTAGTTTTTTGCCATTTTTCATGTAATACTTATACCCAACAGGAGAAGCTTCTGATTTCTTGTTTATGGATCGAGGTTTTTTCAGAGCTTTCTGCAAGTAATGTTTCAACTCCTGTCAGTAATCTGCAATTAAGATTGTATTCCATTTAGGTTAGATTAAAAGGTTATATGCCTTGTTTAGCTGGGATTTTCTTGTGGAGATTTTGGGAATTTTTTGTTGATTTAGGAAAGGTTTGGGTTTTTTACCAAAATTGTGGAACAGAGCTCTGAATTTGTGTGAAAAGTCAGTATAATGTAGCAGCAGAAGGAGATGAATTTTGGGGGAGGAAGATAATATTGATGAAATAATTCTTAATCTTCATAATCAGTTTGTGGTGACAAAGGACAGTTATTTCTGTTTGGTTTGGGCTTGTCTCCTACGAATTTATGAAACATGCGTGTAGAGCACTCGTTAATTTTTTGGCCTTTGAAATTTGCAAAGAGAATGAATTTGAGATCAGCGTACTCTGTAAATTCACGATTCATTCTGTGTTGATATCTTCAGATCGTGGTTTGTTCTCTAGGTGGTGATCAGCTAGGAATTGGTATAATCAGTGTCTTATTTCAGTGCTGGTTTGGCACCAAAGGCAGCTCACGTAGCTCCGGGTCTGTCAGTGCCAGGATATCTTTTGCACCATAAAATGTAAGAGAGCTCCCTTTATTAAGCATGGAACAGCTGGTACAGGTTCCTCATTGCTAAAGCGTCCAGCCACATCGACCACTGTTCTCCTGTTTGAGCTTTTTTCATATTCATAATCTGAGCTAGCCTGATGGGTTTTTATGAATTGTAATTCTGTTCTTGTGTTTTCTTAGGCATGGGTTTTAAAGGGACAGGATATATTAAAATGAACTTTATCTTGTGAGGAGGTTGTCCATGAGTAAAAATATTATCATCACAGGCCATCAGTTTCAGCTGTGGTTGTTTTTTCTTTTTGCTGGGGCATCTCTATTTCTTAAAATTATGTCAAGCTGTTGTTGTAAATGTGTTGAATACTGTAGTACCTCACAGATGGAAACTGGTTCCTGCCCACCTGCACCATCTAGAAGCAGAGACTATATAGTGTTTAGAGAATATATGCAAGCCAAATGAGATGATTAGTTTCTCCTCCAATTTATGATAGTAGTAGTGGTAAGTTGAGACAATAATGAACTTCATATGTAGAAGGTAAAGTTGCTTTCACATAGATTTCTGTCATGAGATAAAATAATTGCTGTTTTGTACAGCTGACAGATTATTTTCAGATTATACAGATGACAGGCAGAAAATGCTAACAAAAACACAAATCTTCTGGGGGCAAAGAAGAGATCTGTGCTTTTTCAGACTCCAACACATCTACTGAGAAGCAGAAGGATTGCAGCAGATGTTTTGGTTACTCCAGTTTGTGCCTAAGCAGTTACACCTTCATTTATTTTGCATCTTGCACAGATCAAACGAAGTTACCAATACTGCCTGTCTCTTTGCACAGACACGGTTTGTGTGACTATCTAGAAGTTGATTGGGCTAATTTTTGATTACTCGGGTATTCAAAGGGTACCATTTTCTAGACTGCTGTGAACATTAACAACATAAACCCAGAAGCTGAAAAGGGGTTCTCTGTGGTTGAACTTGCTCCAGGGTTGTTGCTGGAGCTGAAGAAGATAAAACCTGAAGAACTTGGCCTTCCCGTTAGCAAATGGCACTTGCCTGTCAGTCAGCACAGCCCTCTCTAGCTGGTGTGTGCAGCTAGCTCCTCTTGCATCACAGCGAAAACCTTCAGAAGTGATTTTTCAGTTGGTGAAAGAGGTTATTCTGTTTCTAACTATCAGCATAAGGCTGAAGGCTTAAGGGAACCATGTTTTGAACATCTGGTGTTAAGATTTGGTAGTAATTGACATAAAAAATTGGATTGAACGGGTTACTTCCCTCAAACGCAAAGGGATTACAAGGTTTTGATTCATTTCATGTAAAAAAAAAAGAAATTGAAAATGATGTTTTTATCCTCAGTAGTATAAAATAGCAAGTTATATTCTCCCATAGTTTTCTGAAGTCATTTTGCCCTTTGGTGGAAGAGTAAGCACTGTATTTTAAATACTGTGTGGCCTTTGAGCTTTCATGATGAAAGTATTTAGGAAGTTAACTAACTCTTGTAGCTGCTGAGATCTCTAAGAAGAGTTTTTAATCAGCTTCCATCAGTCTGGTTTAGGTTATATACATGATTTCAGATATTCATGTTAGAATATTTTCAAGCTCAATCTATAAAAGTGAAAGGAATAATCTGAAGAGGATGGAAAAGCTTCAGAGAGCTAGAGATCTGTCAAACTGCTGTCTTCAGGTTCTCTCTCCTCCTCCCTCAAAACACTTTCTCATTTGGTTGGCTTCAGAAGGGAAGTTCTCCATCCATTGCTTAAAATATCCTCATCTCTTTTAGCATTATGTTTTTAACTGACAGCTTTTAAAAGTGTGAGGTTTTGGATCTTGTATCTTCCAGTGATGAGATGAGCACTCTGTAACCAAGGGTTAGTTTCCTTCCTGTGAGGAGACTCAGTGAGTGGCTGGTGGCAATTAAAGGTAGTTACTATTTCCTGGGGGGTGAAACAGTTGCAGGAGTAATTGCAGCTTCGTCTTTGTTTCCTGTGCGATGGGGAATTGAGATGCTGCTGGCTCGGGGAGGAATGACTTGTTGTAGATTTGCTGCCGCTTGTGTTCTGTTGTCCCCCACAACACTTTCATGACCCAAGGACTCTTCCATTTACACTGGAGAGATGCTGTTACCAACTCTGTTCATCAGTGACGGTGTGCTGGGAGCTCGCTCCTAAAACCCTTTGGATGGTAACTCTTTATCACGACTAATCTTCAACTCCCCTTTCCTTCTTGGAAATCGGTATTTTGAAAACCGAGAAAACAAGCTGAAGATGTTTGGGGGGCTCATACGGTTTATAACTTGTTTTTTCCAAGACAGCGGGGTGTTTGCTCCAGCCACGTGAGTACTGTTATTCCCAGGAGGTGCTGAGGTCTGACCTGGTATCCTGGAACATGCTGCACAGCTCAGAATAAGCACAGCCTTTCTTTAAGCGTTATATATCAAATGTGTCAAGGAGGGAAGATGACAAATTCAGTTGGCTTTAATGAGATCTTGCAGCTGCTTCTCTGACTTTTGATTGTTGTATTTATGTACCATATATGAAATCACCAAGTTTATAGTAGCCCAGATTTGCCTGTGTGTTTTCCAGATGTTACAGAAGTCTGTACTGATCACTTCTGTGTAGGTGTAAATTAATACGTATGTATATGTTTTATTATTAATATTTGCCTTTTATTAGAGGCCTTTGGAAAAAAGTTATAGTTGTGACTTCATAAATGGTGTTAATTTTGGTTAAAAACCTAGCAGGAGATTAACTAAGACAATTGTCTAAAATCTCTTCAACTTCCATTTGCAGAGTAAACTTATCTTTGGGGCTTTTGAATTTTGACATGTATTCCTCTTTTGAAATTCAGTAAATATAATAGATTTTCTACAATGTTTTGGTTTAATTGCTGTTTTCTATGAGTTTAAAGTTAAAACCACAAAATACCTACGTTACAATCAAATGTATTCTACAAGCAGCAGAGCCAGTGTGCCTGGGAGACAGAGAAGCAGTGTTCACTCTGGCTTTTCTTGGATTTTTTCCTGCCTGGCTGATTTGTCCATTTCCTTCCTCCACTTGTTTCTTTTGATAACAAGAGAAACAGATGAAAGGAGACTGCTTAGGTTTTCTAAGCTATTAATAAAATCAAGAAAAAGTTGAAAATGCAAAGTACCTTGTTATCAATACCAAGTAATTTTTCTAAGATACGTGTATTTTTCAGTCCGTTCTTGCTCCCTCTGGTGGTTCTTCTACTCGGAACCTATAACTTGGTTTTTATGGTTTTTATATGATGTGCGTTTGTCTGATTTGATATATTGGCTACAGCTGCATATGATAATTTCACTAATTCTGGCACCTGACTCTTTCAGACCGGGCATTTGGCAATGGAGACGTTACTGTCTCTCACCTCAAAACGAGCTGGGGACTGGTTTAAAGAAGAACTGCGGCTTCTAGGTGGTCTTGATCATATTGTAGATAAAGGTATATTAGAGATGCTGCTTCAACAGTGGGAAAATTCTGTGTATCTTACTAAGTTATTTGCTTTTCTTAATGTTCATTTTCTGTGGTTCAAAATAGAAACATTCTGTATTTTTCTGAGCAATGTTAATAAAGCACACAATTTGCTATCAAGTCACTGGGAAATACTAGTGACTAATCTGTTGCATGGGAGATTAAAAGCAGTTTTAAGGTTTAACAGAATGCATATAATGTTGCATATAATGTGTGAGATTTAAAAATGACTTAAGCTTAGAATACAGATTACTGTGCTGTATATCTCTGTACTGCACGCAAACACCGCACACTTATTCTTTACAGTCTCCTAGAATTATTTTCAGGCCTGATATTTTTTTTAACTAAATAACCCCAGAGGAAGAAGAAATGGTGATGCTTTTGTTTCCTTATTTTTTAAAAGATATGTCTTGGTTAGTTTGTTTGGGGTGTTGGGTTTTGGGGTTTGTTTTTTTTTTTGGATCAGCATTTCACAGATGGGAGAAGGGATATTTTAGAAATGAATTCCTGAGCTGGATGAAGCTTGGTCTTACATAAGCAGAGTGTTGGACAAAGGAAAGGTTGAAGAAATTAACAACTTGCACACAGTTTCAGATGTGTAAAGTGTGGGAGAGTGTGTGCTGTAATTTTTTTTTTTTTTCTCCTACAAAACAGTACATTACAGTTAAGGAACATAGTCATGTGCTGTACAAGCTCTTCATTGTCAGTAGAAAATAAAATATGCAGATAGGTAATTTGTAGCAACAGTCACAAGCTTGTAAAGCCAAGATTTTAAGGGTTTGGGTTTTTTAATTTATTTGGAGAAAGATTTTGGGATGCTAATGATATATTCATGATTGTTTCCTAGTATTTTGTAAAGTGTAAAACAAGATTGATGGCAACTCTCTGGGTGGCTGGTTAGTTTGTGCACTTGGCTTTTTGAAGACTTTACTTCTCTTTGTTGTTTAGTTAAAGAATGTGTGGATCACCTAAGCAGTGATGAAAATGAAGAGAAACTGGTTGCTTCATTATGGGGTGCAGAAAGATGTTTACGGGTCTTAGAAAGCGTGAGTATGAGCAGATGCATTGCATTTCTGAAAACCACTTTTTCTCAACCAGACCTTCTAAATGTTACAGTCTTTCAACATGTAGCTACATCATAATAATGCTATAATGTTGATTTTATTTTTTTTTAAATGGAAGATACTAATTTTCTAATGTTTATCAGTGTTCCTGGAATATTTGTTTGAAAATTTCTTTTACCATTCTGTATGTTTGTACAGTGTTGCAAGTTTATTTTTGCTAAGAAAAAGTGAATGTAACGTGATGCTTTTTCTTAATTTCATACAAAAAGCTGATGGTTATGGATGTAGGTTTTGAGGCATAAGTTTGACTCTCTAGCTTGTGTCTGGTAATAACGGATCATTATAGAAACAATATTTTCTTAGAAACAGTAAATGGGTGTATATCTTAAGACCTGCTACTTTCAATCATCAGCTGGTTAACCACTGAGAGAGAAAACTGCCCTGAAATTCAGACTAGTCCTGTCATCAGTTGAGCATGTATATTGAGATGGTAAATAATTTTGGATGAGAACTTGGTGGTACTTTTGTAGAGCTTAACTGACAGGAATTGTGAGAATATGTTTCTTTACAATGCCTTGTTTTGCTGACTTCCATAGTGTTAGTCCTTTTGTATTGTGATAGGGTAAGCAAGCAGAGGAGGGTTGTGATGTTTTAGCAAAACATCCCCATGCATCAGAAGGCCACGTTCGGTTTCAGGGTCAATGAATCTTAATGAACACCATAAACCCAAGTTAGAAGAAAAATAGCTACCGCAGTACCTTGTTTTCTTCAGTAAAATAGAAGGACTCAAAGATAGTGTAAAAGTAAACTAAAAACTGAGAAATGTGAACAGTTGCTGAAGTACTAATTCAAAGGTGCTTACGTAAAAAATAATGGCACCTAGCTCGTTACCTGCCTTCTAAACAGCAGATGAAAATTTTCAGATCCAATTTCTGCTCTTACATTTCATAGAAGGAATTGCCAAGCAACAGAAGAGCAGCCTTGTTTAGTGGTAGAATATTCAAATTTGAACTTGAGGATGGCTGTGATGTAGGAAGATCCTTAGGAACTTGGGAGAGATGACAAAAATCAACACACCAAATCATGCAAATTCAAGAGAAGAACTTCTGCTGTTTCTGGAAATTGATTCTTAATTTCAATCAAGGGAATCGAGGAAAAAATTTTTTTTCTAAATGGTTGGATGCATTATAAGATCACAGGCTTGATCTCAAGTCCTAAAAATAATATTACCTATATAATTTTATTCTGCGGTATATTTTTATATATATTTACACACACATATATACATACATACTCTTGGGACAGTGTAGACCCAGGATCTAGATGGAGAGCTCTGCCGTGGCAGAACATTCTGCCACACGATTTCTGTACTTACTCTATCAGGCAAGATGGTTTTATCTTCAGTGCCACAGTTTTGTGGATTACCTACTAGGTGAAAACTCCAAAGAGATGTTGGACAATGATAAGTGAAAGTTTACACTGAATAATAACCAAGAAACGTGGATGTGAATAAAGTGAGGGGGGGTAGTGGAAGGGAATAGGTCTTTCTCAAGGAAAAAAAGTCCCATTTTTAATATTACTTTCTCCTCCTCTTTTTAGGTAACTGTGCATAATCCAGAAAATCAGAGCTATCTGATAGCATACAAAGACTCGCAGCTCATAGTCTCCTCAGCTAAGTAAGTTGTAACAAAAAGACATTTTTGCAGAGCACTGCACATGATAGTGGAAAAAAAAAAAAGTTATACCAGAAGGTCTTAAGCGGGGGGAGAAAAACCCCACAATTTCCACTGTTGCTTTTCTTGAAGTAATGTTTAAGTTCAGTTGATGAGGGTCTGGGTAACTACCTGAGTACTACCAATATGTAGCGCTGCTATTGGTGGTTCTGTAGAAGCTGCAAACTGTGGATTCAGCTTTTGTACCAAGTTAATATGAACACAGAAGAGGGCAGTTGGGAAGCTACACTTATTTATTGTATTTTCTTTATGCTTAAGGGTTTACTGAAATCGAGCATAACAATTGACACTGTAGCTAAGAATTAAAATAGTAAAGTTCTATTCTTAGCTGTTCTCCCTAGCAAAGATGCTTGTACAAACACCTCTCACCCATTTATCAGTCTGGGGGAGATCTCAGTTGACTGACAGAAATTGTATTCCTCTTGTGCTGCTCTTCAAAGAGAACAAATCAGGCTGAAAATTTGACTCTGCAGACCTCATTTGAAACATAATTTTAGGGGGTTGGGTTAGATATTTTGAGTATTTCTTATAATTTATTTTAAAAACCCCAACAAAACAACAAAACCCACCGTTTATGATGCTGTTTAGACCAATGTATGTTCTTGATGGTTTTAGTTTTGTTGGTAGTTGAAGTCAGTGTTCAGACTGATGTCGTGCAATAGAACCCTGCCTGTGGTCCAGTAGTGCTGCGAGATGAAGATTGTACTGCCAGAAAGTCACGTGTCATTTATTTATTTATTACAGAATGGAAATAGCTTTGAGAAAGAACAAAGAACATTTAGATAACTGTCAGAATAATGTTGTGCCTTGATGGTCAGAGGATATGAGAGGGTGGGTTTGTAGGGAGAAGGTATCTTTTTGTCAGACCATGTGATGAAATTGGAAAGAAAAATAAACTTTTGCTCTCGAAATTTCAAGCTGATAAAGCTCTGTGCCAGAAAGCTTCCCTGGGTTTTTTTTCACAGTGTCAGTTGAGCTCATAAAAGATTTCATAGGTGATAAGTTTATTATCTCTCCTGATAAGTTTGATATCTGGACATCAGAAAAATTCTGCATAAGCTCTGTACTTGAGTTTTCTTCCTGTTGAAATATGTATAAAGGTGGAATGTCCTGTATGTTGTGGAGGTAATTTTGTTCTGCATCCTCTCCCTGCAGAGCACTGCAGCATTGTGAGGAGTTAATCCAGCGATATAATCGTGCTGAAGACAGTATCTGTTTACCAGACAATAAGCCTCTGCCTCACCAGAATGTAACTAACCACGTGGGTAAAGCAGTGGAAGACTGCATGAGGGCTATCATTGGTGTCTTGCTCAACCTGACAAATGATAACGGTAAAGCAAACAAAAACACTTTGCATATTCCGTGCTAAAGCATCAAATAAAACATTAATATAAAGCCTTTTCTTATATTGATTATGTTTTTTCCACGTACGATGCAATACAAGTGAAGTATGGCAGATGCTTGTTTTATAATAAGCAGTCAGTAATTTGTCTTTGAAAAGTGGGTCAGTAATCGCACGTATTGTTAAGATACGTACTTTGGCTAAGAGTCCTGTTTGTCCTTAGGGCCAACAAGTTTTTAATCAATCTGTTTATGATTACGAAAATGAGTGTTTTCAAAATCGAGCCACTAATCTCTTTTTTTTTTTTACAGAATGGGGTAGTACAAAAACAGGTGAACAGGATGGTCTGATAGGCACAGCTATGAATTGTGTGCTTCAGGTTCCAAAGTTCCTACCTCAAGAACAGAGATTTGATATTCGGGTCCTGGTAAGCTGTTGTATGTGTTACATCAATGTAAAATGATTTGTCCCCTTCTTGTACATTTATCTACTCTCTTTCCACATTAAGGAGCAGCCTCTACAGTTTTCATTGACCGTAACTTAGTGAGGTACTTAAAGTGTCTGTAAGAATTTGGGGGGTTTGAACTTGTAACCATTTTCCCTGTGTTGGGTGGGAAAAAGTTCACTGCTAGATGAACAAAGACATTTAGCTGAATAAATTTAAAAATTAGATAATTCACATATTTCTTTTCAACTTTAGAAATATGGTGGATGTTATTGTTTGAGAAAAAAGCTTTGTTGAATTTACCTCAGCTTATGTAAAATGGGTCTGTGCGGCCTAAATAGCAACAGTGAAATTGTGTGTGTGAAGGATCTTTAAAGAATATGAACTGAAGGTTGGATGCTTGAATCCCTAATCTATAAGTGAAATCTCATCTTTAAATTGATGTTTTCATGTTTGGAACTGGAAAAATGAAGATTCCTGCATATAAGTCCTAGTATACAGGGATGTTAGTTTTGCCTCATATTTCTTTAAATGCTAATTCCTCTGTCTGTTAAACTGTTTTATAAAGGTGTGTTGGTAAGTTATGTATCCTCAGAAATACAAAGCCTAAAGAAGACATCTGGATAGATGCTTTTTGCTAAATTACCTTTTTTTAATGTGTACAATCCTCTTTGACTCTCCAATTCTTGCAGGGATTGGGTTTGTTGATCAACCTGGTAGAATACAGTGCTCGGAACAGGCACTGTCTGGTCAATATGGAAACATCGTGTTCTTTTGACTCATTCTGCACGGGAGAAGGGGACGACAGCCTGAAGATAACTGGACAGATTGATGCTGTTCAGGCTTTAGTGCAGGTAAGAAATGTGGCTTTCCTGTCATAGTTACCATTTTTCATTATCAGACTGTCAAGGGAGAAGGGAGAACTCAGCAATGAAGATTTGTCAGAATTTTTTTCTGGTTAGTATTTTGAGTAATAGAGCTTAGTGGGGGAAGAGGGGTGCTACTCACAATTTCGATTTCTCCAGTACAGTCCATTACAGAAACAGCTTTCCTGGTACAAGACAGTGGTATCATTATTACAGACACCCAAAGGCTGCTCTCGTGCTCTGTGAAGCTTTCTTGTTCCTAAATGGTTTACTTCTAGTTTCGTTTTAAACCAGCTGTAAAAATTGTAAGCTACTCTTGTCTTATATATTTTGCTTCCATGGGTTATTTTTTAAAGTGCTGTCTTTTTGGGAGCTTGCAATTTATAAATTAAAAAAATGAAGTATCATGCTTTATAAGAGCAATAAAATATGTACTGATTATGGATGTGAAACAGCATTCTTAAATGCTGTATTGACTGCCTCTTTAACAGAAAATAAATCCACCAGTAATTTTGGTGAATTACTTCCACCATACAAACTAAAATAAAGGATTGAAAGGAAATTGCAGCAGCCTTTTTATTTCAATAGAGATAACTTTATGGACCCTTATAGCAGTTCTTCTGTTTAACTATGTGAAATAACTGTCCAGCAGCAGACCCCAAAAATTTTAAACAATAAAAATCATAATGTTAAATATCTTAATGCATACAGGTTGGCAAAGCAGTATTTAAAAATGGCGGTTGTATGGTTTGGGAAATAATTCATGGGATGTAAGTGCACAATATGAGATTGTTGGTTCTGTCATATCCTTGATAAGTCATTTTAAGTTACTCTTCCAAATTTTTGCTTTTTATATACCGAGGGAAAAGCTAAGAGAGCAAAGAGGGGACAGCTAGCATGAGAAGAAAATGCGGATTGGTAGAGAACAAAAACGGACAGGAGAGCATGTCAACTTTTAGTCTTCAAGCTGTGTCTCAAAGACAACAATTAAACATTTATGATGCCCAAGAGGAGTCTGCTAACTAGTTCAGCACCTGGGGATGGAGGGGGCCTTTTCTGTAGAGCACAGCGTTAGTGTTGGGATAAATTATATTTTCCTTTGAAGAAAAGGCCACTGTCAAGAAAAATATTGAAGACTAACTGTATTAAGGGGTGAACCGTGAAGGGGAAATAAACTTTCAAGTGTTAATTAAATGTGTTTAGGCTTTAATTTATAAAATAAATCCTCCTGAAATTTTCCCCATTAGCTATTTCTTGAGCGTGAGCGAGCAGCACAGCTGGCCGAGAGCCAGACAGACGAGTTGATTAAAGAAGCTCCGACTGCTCAGCATGATAAGAGTGGGGAATGGCAAGAGACAAGTGGGGAGATACAGTGGGTCTCCACAGAAAAGCCAGATAGCACTGAAGAGAAAGATAAGAAGGAAGAAGATGATGAAGAACTTGATCTTAATAAAGGTAAGTTGTCTAGTTGTGATGAGCTCGGAAAAGGCAAAGAACTCTGATTGCATAAATATTCCCACCTTGTCCCCTGCTTCCTAGCTACGTGCAGTCTCTTGGGCTGAGATTGCCTCAGCATATCCCCCAGGTGAAACTGCTACAGATCATAAGTAGGAGTAGTTCAGAGCTGAAGCATGAGAAGTGGAAGCATTTATGCTACTTTTTTATTTTCTTACTAGTACCTTCTATCAGTTTCTTCTTTTAAAAGAAAAAAAAAAAACCAACAACACAAAACCAACAACAACAAACCCAACAAACCCCAAACTTTTAAGGAACATTCTGTGTAAGAAATATTCTGAAAGGGATGGCTTTTTGGCCCTTACCATGTTCTTCTGAAACCGTACTTAAAAGCTACCTGACTTAATTTTGGTTTTGGAGGGTATCATGACTCATTCTTGTTTCATGCTACTTTTAGAGTTTTTTTCTTCCTCCCCTCCCTATTTGCATGTATAATTCTTGTGTCCCCCTCTTCTTTGTGTCCCAAGTCCTCCTCAGTCCATCGGCAGTATCTCAGGTGCCTGTGCAGTGCCTTGGTGTGCTGCATCTTTGATAATCTGTTCCAGGAACTTGAGTATCTCTAAGCTGAGTTACGTAGTCTGTCTCTGTAAATTGTATCACATCTGAAACATCAGTCCTTCTTTAATCTCCTAATAGTGTTTTCATCTTCTAACAATATGTTCCCCAACTTGGCTTTATATCCTTTCTCTATTTTGTAGCTCCATCACCTGGTCTCCGCAGCTATTCGTGGTTTGCCCAAAAATGCTGAGTCATTAGCAAAAAGTGCTCTGTTACCCTTAATACAATAAACATCTTTTGCTGGAAGTCTTACTGGCTTATGGTATCACATGAAACATTTATATTTGTATTTTGGTGTGTTAAGCATTCAGTTTGCACCTTAAAATGGCAATTAATAAAATACCATACCATGTAACGAGTTGCAAGTGAATGAACACTGTTTTCCTGTTCAGGTACGTGCTGCTGAGTTAGTAAGTACGGAGTTTCTCTGATTCTCGCCTCTGAAGTCTCAGTCCTAAAGCTCAGTTTGTTTGAGAAAAAAAGAATTGAGAAAAGTGATAATGAAAGATTGTATTTGAAGCAGTAAAAGATACCAGCTGCTCGGAGAATACAATACACTCGGTTGTCTCTTTTTTCAGCTCTTCAGCATGCTGGGAAGCACATGGAAGACTGCATTGTGGCCTCATACACAGCATTGCTTCTAGGCTGTCTCTGCCAAGAGAGTCCAGTAAGGGAATACATTGTCAATAACTTGCTCTTAAGTCCAGTACCATTTTTAGTGAAGCAGTAATTTGCAGTATTGAAATGAGTTTATTAAATTAGAGTTCGATATGAGCTAGTACATTGATGAAGCTACGCTGATGTGTATAGTTTTCTGACAAGTTACCAGAGGGGTTCCATCCAAAACAAATTTTCTGAGTGTCAGTGTTTGTCAAAAACAGTTGTAACTGAATATTTAACCTCTTCCACCTCTCTCCCCTTTGCTGTTAGTTTTAGCCACCAAGTGAACCTCCCTTTGAAAAGCAAAGGAAAATTGACTTGCCCATTGTATAATGATTTTTGCTTTATTTTTTTCAGAGTTTCAAAAAGCAAATTACCATCAGACTTGTTTATTCGTTGAAATGACATGCAATTGTGTATGTCTCCATTAGCTGAAAGTGATTGCCTCAGATTGGAAATACATAATAGGAAGCTGAAGTTAAAACTTAAAAATATGGAACTCTTAATGGCCAAGAACTTCATAAACTCTCCTGTCAAATATATGCTCAGATGCAAATTAGGTTCAGACCTGCCTTCAGGCTTGTGTGAATTTACCATGGTGACAGAACCGGTCTTTAAACATGCTGTTTTGTTCCTTTTGACTAATTAACTTATGTATGATTCTAGTGTTTGGAGTGATATGGGCAGTAAGTTCAATAATTCTCAGCCCTTAACAGTTACGCAGGGAGATTCTCTCCATGTCAGGAGAGTAATCTGGGGTTTTAGTGCTTGATAATCTTGTGGGTCCTGGAGAGGTCTGGTGGTAATGATCTTTAATGAGAAAAAAACCAAACCAACAACAACAAGATTTAAGCAATTGTTGTTTCCTAGAAACATAAACGCCATAAATATACAAGTATTGCTCGAGAGGCTTAAATCATAGAGATGGCAGCAGAAGCCATCTTAATAATGCTGTGAATATACTTGTCTTACTGCATCCTACACGCAGAGTATTACAGTTCTTTGTCAGAAAAAATATTTCCCAAATTAAAATAGATTGTTTTATTTTTTAGATCAATGTGACTACTGTGAGGGAGTACTTACCTGAAGGGGACTTCTCAATAATGACCGAAATGCTCAAAAAGTTTCTCAGTTTTATGAACCTTACTGTAAGTAATATATATTTTTAAGGCTGTGTATAGATACTTTTGTAACTGTGTTTTCTGTTAATAGTCCATACATTTTTAGATGCATTTAACATTTTTCAGTTTGTGTCTTTAGAAGATGTTCTGGTTTTAAATACTGAAAACCCATTTTTCATTATTTTGGTAGTAAATGGAATGAAGCTACTTTCATTCCACTTGATTGTGACCAGTCAGGAAAATATTTCTGAATCCTCTGCCTGAACCTAATTGCTTTTACTGATACGGACCTCTAAATATTAAAACTCTGAAATAAGCATAGCTCTCAAATATTTTAAAGAGGTGTATTACAAATGCTTGTTTGTTACTTCTGTTTTCTATTACATTTTCCAGTGTGCTGTTGGAACAACAGGCCAGAAATCTATCTCTAGGGTGATTGAATACTTGGAACACTGCTAGATACTTAACTTCCGCTGCAGGCACTCTAATGCTGGAGCTACCCTTAGACAAAAGAAGAAGTCATGAAAGAAGTCCTTGAAGGATATACCAAGAGCATTCATCTGTGTCATTCGTGTTCGGATTTTTAAGGCTACCTGGTCTCTTAACCATGCATTCAGCATTTTCTAAAAGACAGTTACTACATCAATCTGCAACTATCAAAAATGAGGGGAAAAAGGTTCTGAGGAAAGTAAATAAAGAAACCATGCTGTTTATGATGCAGTGCAGTATTTAAACATTTTTTTGGCAGGGTTTGCCCTCCCTATCTTTTTTTTTTTCTTGCTTTGTTCGTGACAAGTTTCAAGGGGAAAAACTTGCTGCTGATAGTGCAACTGCTGTTTACTGTTGAGCCACTGTTTCATGCCAGCCAGGTGCAAAGGCAGCTTAGCTACTGAGGTATCAAACAAATGTTCTAATAAAGAAGTTCTGGACAGCAGCACCGCTCCTATTTGAGTTTAATTTGCTCTTGCTTTTTTATTACTAGATTATTCCAAAATCATAAAATATAAATTTTTAAATACTTTTGTGATTTTAACTACTGTCTATATTTAAAATTTGTTGGAATCCAAAGAGGCGAGGATTGGATAGTTTATTTTTTATACTGTTTTGATTGAAATTAGGTTGTTGAACTATTTCTCAGTTCTAAAACTATCATGGCCCATGTACTGTAAACTTGATAGACCATAACACTTTGTAGTTCCAAGAAGCATGCAAACCCATAAACACACAAAGCCATTTGAGGGTATGTTATCCACAAAGAAATAGTAACTGTAAAAATGTTGTGCCCTGTTTAAAAAAAGAAAGAAAAAAAAATTAAAAAAAAAAAACAAACCTCAATCCCAGGGTAGTTTACACTTCTAATAAGCAAAAACTTTGACATGCTGTTGTAATTTGTTTCAAGGAAGCACTCAAGATGTATTTTATACTGCTCAGTACAAAGAATTTGGATGTTTTAGGGCGAAGAATTTTAAAGAAGCTAAAACACCAATGGGGATTAATGTTTCCAGCTGACATAATCTTTCTATTTCATTCTTCTGTAGTATGACAAAGTTTAAATGCATACAACACAAAGCCTTAAATTGCTGATATAGCTAAGATTTTGTTCAGTCTGAGGTCTAGTTCACAGCAAAGCATTGTGTTTGAAGACTTAAGTGGAACAAAGAATCCCAGAAAACACATTACTTTTTTTAACATTTTTTTTTCTTGCACTCATTATTCAGACCAGCAGAATTGGTAATTATTTTTATTAAGGTGGTCTTGAATATTTGCAGACTGTTCTGAGATCTGCTTCATCGACATTTTTAAATACCTGTATAGGTAGTTACATCATGTTATTCCATTGAATTTGTAAAACTTGAAGCCATAAAAATATTAGTTCTGTGTATAATGAGGGGGAAATAACAGGAAATCTAACCTGCTTTTAGATCTTGTGTTATCTCCATGTATAAAGTTAAGAACTCGTGCTTTTGTATCAGTGCCAGCTGTAAATTTTTTACATACAGTGGCTGCCTTCTATGTCTTCCTATTTTTGATAATGCAGATTGTTGGGAATTCTGTAAGGAAGTAACTGATTAGCGGCAAAAATCCTATGTTGGTCATACTTTTTGCGTTTTCTCTCATCACCTTCTAAAACTTAGTGTATCAGTGTAACTTAGAAAAGTGTTTGAGGTTGTGTTCCCCTTTGTTTAAAAAATAATAAATTCAGTATGGGGAGAGAGAAACTGTATATAAATTATCTACATCAGGAGGAAATTATTGACTATTTTGCCCATTTAGTTTTCTGATTTTAGAGATTTTTCACTTATAATGGGATTTCGAATTGATTATGTAGTTTTCTGTGGAGAGATGTCAAGAGAAAATAAAATACCGATGTGATGATGGGGAAAGCAGGGACAACTACCTTTCTTTGTTACACTGGTAATTGTTTGGGAATTGATTTACCTCAGTGTTTAACAGTTTTTTTCAAATGTAACTAATTGTCAAGCACTGACAAATGCAGATTTTTTTGTTTTTTGTTTTTTGAGGGTGGGGGGAGAAATCACCCTGTGAACTGCAGTGCATTTTTGTGTGTTAGACCCTCAAATAACTCTGCATTAAAGGGTACTTGAGGCCAACTTGCAAATTAAAGTTTTAAAGTAACTTTTTTTCCACTGTAAATATTTGTGTAAATACTCTCAATTGGAAATTAGAACAGTAGAGTACTTTTCTGAATCCAATCCTATTTTTATTTTATACAGTATTTCTCAGCTGTGATCTTTGGAGCAAAAGCCAACGGCAGGAAAAATAGTTTGTACCAGTTTCATGAAGTATGTCTTTGGGTTTTTGTAAATAATTTTAACTCAAATAAAATTGCTACTTTCAATACATATCTTGTCTTTTAACATGCAATAAAACACTCCTCTGAGTGATTGCAGAAAGCAGGCAGTGTCAGGTAAATTGTTAAAAGGAAAAAAAAAACCAAACAAAACCACAACAAAACAAGAGGAGGAAGAAAAAATAGTAGAGGAGCATCCTGAAGGTAATGCTCTGTTTTTCATTGGTGTGTTGGGACCATAAAATTCAGTGCCTGGACCTGAGGCTGTGGTCAGTCAAACCAGCTAAGCCTTGACATTTTCTGGAGATGATGTACTCAATCTTTTGATGCATTTTGGAGTTCTCCACAGAAGTTGCTATTGATCTTTCAGCTGAAGGGGCATGTTAACGACTCTGAAGAGCTGTAGTTAGAATAACAAAAATACCCTAAAGCCTAGGGAAAATGGGACAGTTCTTGTTATGGTGATGCTTTTCACATCGTGGAGGATGTCAATGTCTTCTTTCTTCAGAAAAAAATGAGAAAATTACCACGAGCATTGCTCTGTTTCTCTATTAATATGAATGATGCTTTAATTTCAGGATGGATTTTTTCCCATGGATTTTTTTTTCTTTATTGATACACCTAGATACAGGTACAATATGCAGTAATTCATGAGCTCTAAAGCAAGTTGAATGTGATGTGTCATCTCACTGCCACTTTAACAAGCATCAGCATAATGTAACTATTTCTGTGCTGTAAAGGGATGTTACTGGAGTTTGAGATATGGAGAAGTATGTTATTAGTATGTGGTGCTGTAGGAGGCAAATACAGGTTTATCTAAGCAAATGTTTTCCAAAAGTAACCTCTGGTAAAAGTATTTCTTGGTCATTTTGTTGGTAGATATGTAATAGAAGCATTATGTGTGGATGCTTTGAGATGACATCAGCATTTTCAGACTAACAGGATAATTGTGAAGCTTATGTAGAAGATTTGGGAGTTGTAGCCTTTCACATAAATTATTTCACTTTCAGACTGTTTTGAAATGCATGATTTGCATAATGACGGAGTGATCTGGCACGGTGTGTACAGCACTGCTTTATCAGAAGCTTTATGTAAAAGCAGGTGGTGTGCTGGAGATGGTTTCTCAAGCTGGCCTGATGGAGTTGAGCTGTCAGCAGATGGATCGTGTGTCTCTGAGCAGAAGGCAGGGCAATGATCACACAGGTACATGTAAAGGCTTTGTTCGTCCACCTGGGAGGAACACAAGAAGATAGTGGGAGTTCTCATCCCGATTTTAGGGTGTTACATTTTTTTAAACTTTTTCTGTAACAGAATATCCTAACCAGGAGTTCTTGCTTTTAACCACATTTTCAGGCTCAGGTACCTCACTGATTGATGGAGATGTTTCTGGTGTCAGATGCACTAGCAAGTATTCTGTCTTCCCTCGTTTTTCCTTTCTGGACATCAGTAATTCCTCCTTTGAGTAAGCAGAAGTCAAAGCTTATTTGGTTAGATGGGGCTATTACCAGGCAAGCCCGAGGGGCTTTTTCAGTAAAGTGGTTTTTTTTTGTCAGTGTTGTACTTTTATTGTTTAAAGGGCAAGGAAAACACAAACGTGTATCAAAAGATAAAAAGCACTTAAGTAGCTGCCTTACTTCTGCATCAAGCCCTTCTTTATAGGGCGGCTTGCTAATTGGGTTTTTGAAGATAATGAGATTGGAATTTGCCCTGAATCTTGCTAGACAAGTGTTTTCAAAAACCAGGCCAATGTAATTCTTGATACTGCTGCTTCTCCTGTTTCGTCTTTGGTCAAAGGACACTACTGGATTCTTTTAGCTGTGTGGAACAGAAGCCGTTCATACATATTCTTTTTTTACCTGCCCTAAAGGTCCCCTGTCCAAGGGACTGTAATTTATTAAGACGTTTGCAGCATCGGTAGGTACAGATAGTCTTACTGTAAATAAAAGTGAAACCATTATAAATAATGCAACTGCTTCAAGTGCTTATCGAAGGGTAGATTGATTTACTAATGCCACAAGGATCTTTATTCCAACTGTGAAAATTGAACTTAATTTGCAGCTGTAGGTTTAGCCTCGGGTTGCTGTGCATGGTCTGTCTGTGGCAACAGGCCCTCTGGTGATGCAGAGGATGTGAGGAGCCCTGGAAAAAGAGTCCTCACTGGGAGGAAGGGGAACTACACGGGGGACTGCCTTACATTGGACAGACATCTTGGTATCTCTTACCTCCTGTATTCCAAACTGTATCTCTTAAGTCTCCTAACCCCCAATTTTTGCTACTACATGTCGAACTTCCATTTCATCAGCTTGGAGGAGTAAAGGCCAAAGATTTCTTCAGTTGTTTGGAAAGTTAGATTACTAAAGTGTACCTAATCCTTCTTATGCCCCTGGCGTTGACTCAGAGTTCTAGTCTGTCTTAGGTGCTCCAAAGTTTAGAGGAGGGTTCATTGTTGGATAAATATTAATTAAAAAAATTAAACTTCTGCAGAGTAAAATTAGGTGATCTAGAAAAGAGGACACTCTTTGGAGTAAAGGAAGGAATAACAGCAATTTTATTTAGATTTACTGTTTAACGTGTGGGAACTTTTAATTTTCCTCTATTATGACAGAAGTTTTAGTTGTCTCTGCGTTTAGGTTTTTTTTAAAGTGGGGAGGAAGAGTGTTAGCCGGGAGTATGGAGTGGATTACATGATTTTTATTCCACCTGTAAAGCTGACCCTGTGATTGTGTCCTAGAACAAGAGTTTGGTGTTGGTCAAGTGAGTAATAATAGTTCATGCATGTGTTGCTATTTTCCCTGAATTTTCTAGCTCTGTCACTTTACACTCTTAAGACCATTAAATGTATTTTCACCACTGAAAATAAGGTATAGTGACACTGAAAAGAGGAGAAAGATTCGAGTCAAAGGTGCACCAGAGAGTTTGTTTGATTGTGGTGATGAATATTTACCACCTCGATAAATTTTTCTGTTAAAGGCCCAAATCAGACTTCTTCACTAGGTTCTGTTTTCTCCCTCAAATTCACTGATGTGTAATCAGAAGAAACCAAAACTTGAGAAAAGCTACAAGGGCTGGAGTTTGAAAGAAAAATATATTAAAAAAAACCCCAAAACAACTAGAATTAATTCTACTTTTTTTTTCCAACCAGTAACTGATCAAAGAAAATATATTTAATTGGCCTGTTTGATGGGAGAAGGACTTGTGAACATGGCTGTGATGTATGTCCTAGTGGCAGTTGCTGCTGTTTGGTTTCCTTCTGCGTTACAGTATTCTTCTTGGTGGAAAGCAAACCTTGATGAAAAATGTGTTGAAATTATGTATGCACGCACACACACCTGTCTATATATACAGTTATTTTGTTTCTCTGCTGTTACCAGTACCTGATGCATGAAAATCAAGGTGAAGGGCATTGCTGCAGAAGTTTGAATGAAAGGAATGAGTCGCTTTTGCATCAAATGAGACCACAGGGGAGCTATGCACCCACCTTCCTGCCTCCGGGAATGATGCCGGAGTTGTGGAACTTTGGCTTTTTTTTCGTGGATGTGGTGTTGGTCTCTTATCGCAAACATGTGGCTCTTGAAAATGTTTCTGGGGCAAAAAGTTTGAAAATACCCACTTATGTTGTTTTATGGTCTGCTGTTTACAGTCTCTTGTTTGAATGGAATTTAAGTGCAAACCAACAGGAAAACTTGCAGTAAGATCACTTTGCGTCACAGCTTTACTCTGAGGCATGAATTTACTTTCAAAGTGTTGATACTCAGGTTACTGAGTCTCAAAAAGTAGTTTAGTAATGTGTTACATGAACTGCTGTATAACATCTGGTGTCATTTTGATGGCTCATATTTTGATTTTTTTGTCTTCAACAAAGAATTTTAAGGCAAAGCTAGCTTATCCAAATTAAAAACACCATCATGTTTGTTTAGGTTAAGAGTGCTATAATGAAATTAGCAGCAGAAAATGCAGCATTGTAAATTAAATAGAAGTGATGCAATTATTGTTTGCAGTCTCCTTTTGCCCTGTTTTTAAAACCTGGCAATAAATTTTTAATAAGAAAAATGTAATCTTTCTAATGGAAAAATCCGATTGGAATTTGTGTGCTGTGTATTCATGCATATCATGCATCCGGCTTTAAAATGGATCTTCATCTTGCAAAACAATATTTTTTTATTTGTGATATCTTAGGTTACAATGAGAGTCTTATTGAGCATTTTGCAAGAGCAAATTTGTAGCTATTTTATCTCAGGTAATCATAAAATTTCCTCCTTATTTAGTGTAGATTATAATGGTTCTTCAAGTATCATTTCAAATGTGAGGCAAAATCAAGTATCATACAGGACTTCAAATGTCATTTATGTATTCCTGTAGAACATCAATTAAAATTGCTGGGACAAACCAGTACTCTAGAATGATTTGCTAGTCTGTTCTACATCTAGTCTAAGACTGTAAATAAAAAGAAGTCATTCTGTTGAGAGAGCTAAACCAATTTTTATGCTCTTCACAGGAAGATATAAATATATGGCTATCCTAGTTTTGTGCAGTGTTAAAGAGGTTTATACAAAGATGAAATATTCCACAACTGTAACTTTATGTAACACTTGTGATTGAGCCCTCAGAAGTTCTCAGGAGAGCTGGTTTGTGCTGTTTGAACATACATAATGCAGATTCAGCTTTTTTAAATTGCTGAAAATCACTTAGAATGTGCTTTGGTTTTCGATCTTTGTGAGCTGGGACCAAATGAGGTGGCTCTTGACCACAGCTGTCTGCACTGTCCTACCCTTCTCTCTGAGAATGTTCACTGGACAGAGTTTTCAAAATGCTGAATTCAAAGCCTGAAGTTGTTAACCTTAGTCTGTCCTGCATTAGGCTGATGTGCTTTAAAGCTGAGCTCAGTCTCTCTCTCTATATATATACACCTTCTTCTGGGAGAAGCCCTCAGCAAGACGCGCAGTCCTACGTCGGTGTGAGCGTGAGGTCAGGCCTAGAGAAGGTGGCTTAGGGAGGCCCGTGGGGCCAAGCCCACGCACCGGAAATCCCCTGAGCCAAAGACAGGTGAAGAAG